GGGCAGGGAGCATCAGGGGAGTCGCCTGCTCTCGTCTGAGATGGAGGCAGAAGCAGACGGAGGCTGGAGAAAGACCAAGAAGGCAAGGCAGGGGCAGAGGCCGAGGAAGCCCAGCGAAGGCAAGGGTGGAGGAAGAGCAGAAGCGGAGATAAGAGAGTGAAAGGGTCAGAGACAAAGGGAAGAGAGGAGAGAGGAAGGAGCAGAGAGAGGAAGAGGGAGCTGGAGAGATGGGGAAGGAAGGATATAAAGGCAGGGGAGACGAAGATGCAAAGAGAATGAGGTGGAAACAAAGAGAAAGGGAATTCCATCCAAGAGCAGACTGTGAGGAAGGGGCTTGCCACGCTGTCTCATTCAGGCCTCAACACAAGCAGGTACTGCTGCGGTTCCCGTTGTGTAGATGGAGAGACAAAGGGTTAAGAGATAACAAGGGAGGGAGAGAAAATAGAGGAAGGAGAGAGAAAACATGAGGCAGGAATACAGACGAGACAGACAGAACCTATTCAAGGATCAAAGACAGCAGGCCGGGTGCGGTGGCTCACGCCTGTAATCCCAGCACTTTGGGAGGCCGAGGCGGGTGGAGTTTGAGAGGTCAGGAGTTCGAGACCAGCCTGGCCCACATGGCGAAACCTTGTCTCAACTAAAAATACAAAAATTAGCCAGATGTGGTGGCGGGCGCTTGTAATCCCAGCTACTTGGGAGGCTAAGGCAGGAGAATTACTTGAACCTGGGAGGCAGAGCTTGCAGTGAGCCGAGGTCATGCCATCGCACTCCAGCCTGGGCAACAGAACACAAACTCCATCTCAAAAAAAAAAAAGAGAGAGACAACCACCGAACAGCCTAGCTGCCCATTACAGCATAAGCTTGAGAAGAAGCAGGGTTTTGTCTCTGACAAAGAGCAGGCATCCAGCTAATAACTACGGAATGGACAAACAGGCATTACCTAGACTATGCCATCAGGGAAAGCCTTGGAAACTGCGTGAAACCAGGGGTGACCAGGAAGGGCTCCGTGCGGACGGTCTACCTGAGCCAAACCTGGAGGCACGCAGAGGGCGGAGCAGCGGCGTTGATCATGCAGCAAACCAAAAACCCGGCAAGGGCGTGGAAACAGAAGGTGGCAGAGGGGGCGTGGAGGCAAAGTCAGCAGCTCAGCTTGCCCACATGAGGACCAGGCCTACTGATCTTTGAGAATCTGCAGTGTTGGGCCTTTGAAAGGACTAAAGCTCAGGAGGTGATCTTCGAGGTGGGGGTTTTTCCGTTCTCCAGGTGAGAGACAAGTACCTGAACTCAGAACGCAGCAGCAGGACAGATGGAAAGGGACAAGGTCTAAGACTCATCCACTCACTCATTCGACCTATTAAAGACATAGGATTGACAGTTCCTGGACACTGCCTGCAGGGCTCCCGTGTCCCTGGAACCTGGGAGGTCAAGGTTTTCCAGGTGGGGCTCCAAGGAGGTGTCTCTGTGGACCGTCTGGTTTCCAGCCTGAGGGATTGAGGATGACCTTGTTGCTCTCCAGGACCCAGAACGTGAAAGGAGGTGCAGGTTTTGTTGGAAAGCTGAGTTCACATTTGAACTTGCTGCAGAACCTGTGGGATTCCTGAGTGGCAACAGCCACGGGCATTTGGATAAACTCTAAGAGAGCTCCAGGGAGGACTGGGCTGCAAACAGACTTTACAGCAGGCGAGTCACGGAGATCATACAGCTTATAGCCTAGAAGCCAGAACAGAGGGCCAAGCAAACAAAGGAGGGGCACAATATTTAAGGAGACAAGGTTGCCAGGCACGGTGGCTCATGCCCATAACCCCAGCACTTTGGGAGGGCGAGGCAGGGGGATTGCTGGACCAGCCTGGACAACATTGCAAAATCTCTCTCTACAAAGAATACAAAAATCAGCAAGGCATGGGGGACCCGGGGGACTTCCAGGGCCCTACCCCAGCACATCTGAACCTCTGGGAGGAGGGAGGAGCTCTTGGGAGGGCTGGGCCCACCCCCGCAGGACTCTGGCTGGTGTTGGTCACCAAGGCCTCCAGACACTCTGGGCTATTTGGGCTGCAGTCAGGCTGCCCAGGGCTGCGGGTACCAAGTCAGGGTCCTCAGCAGGTGCCCGACTCAGTTCAGCCTCAGGGGCGTCCTCCAGGTCGGAGCACAGGTTGTCCCCAGGACCTGGGGTCCGGGGTATTGGGGATCCTGGAGCCCCTCCCACAGGCCAGCCACTCCATCCAGGGGCTCCCGGTGGCCCCGCCAGGGCGGATGGGTTGTCTTGGCGGTGTTGTTTGTGAGCCCATCTGACATCCAAGTGTAGTCATTGACTGGACAGGATAGAGAGGAGCCAGGCGCCTGGAGAGGGGCTTTGAATCAAGGCTACGGGACGGGCAGAATGGGCCAGATGGAGTCACTGGGTGCGGGGGTGGCAGGGAAGGCTGAGGACAGAGGCTTGGGAAGGAAATGTCCAGTGGGAGGTTGGCAAGGAGGAGCATGAGTACAGGGGACTGAGGATGGTGGTGAGGTAGAAGGCAGGCTGGTGTGGTGCCCTTGATGTTGGAGGAGGCATCTCCAGATAGACAGTCATAACCCATGAGAGGTGAAACTGACATGCAGACAGGACCACTGGGTTGGGAGCATGCCCGTCACTAGAGATTTTGACTGTACAGTTTCAGTGGAGGGGTGGCCAATAGCTTGCTTGGAAAGGAGTGAAGAGGAATGAGATGTATGGTAGTGGAGGCAATTACTGTAAATGATGCTTTCAAGGAAATTGTTTAGAGCAGAGAAAGGAGGCAGAGACTAACAGTATGTCAGATCCAGGGAGGTTTTTCTGAGTGAAGGTATTAATATTACAGCCTATTTGTAGGTTAATGAGAATGATCTAGAAGGGAGGAGAAGCTAATGGTGCAGTGGAGAGCAGAGTCCCTGAGCTGGTGAGCAGGGATGGTGGCATGTGCTTGTGTGGGAAACGGGCGCCACACTGCTTCACGATGGACAGCAGAATGGCTGGGCCAAGGCGCAGGCAGGTGTCACAGACAGATCATGTCCTTCACGACCACATCCTAAGTCCCAGAACCTGAGAATATGCCACTTGAGAATATGGCAAAAGTTACTTTGCAAATGTGATTAAGAATTAAGCTAAAGACATTCATACAGGGAGATTATTCTGGATTCTCCAGGGGGCTGATGTCATCACATGGATCTTTAAAGGTAGGAGGGAGGAGACGTGACTACGGAAGAAGGGTCAGAGAGATGCAGTGCTGCTGAGGAGCCCTGGGGATGGAGGAAGGGGCCATCCTACAAGGAACGTGGGCGGCTCCTGAATGGAGTCGGGAGAAGGAACCTGCCGACACCTTGATCTCAGCCCAGTGAATCCCGATAGACTTCTAACCCGTGGAACTGCAAAATGATAACTGCGTGTGTGGTCCTTAGTTTTGGCAGCTGAAGAAAACTAATACAGTGGGCAAGGGGTCCGGGTGGGAAGGAGACAACCCTCAGGGAAGGGTGAAGCAAGGCCATAGAATGGCCTGCAGGAGCCTAGCAGGCTGGGGTAGAGGAGCTGGTGGGAAATAACTAGGTGACTGGGAAGCTGGTGACCCCAGGTGGCACCCTAGGCAAGAGTGGCTCTCAGCCCCAGGAGGCCAACAGTGGTCCTAGCGTGGGGCGACTTTTACATTTCCACAAGAAGCTGCGCTTGACAATTGCAGTGAAACTGACCCCAGGGCTGGAGGGGCACGGGGCCCGATTGGGTTAGTGGCTTCTGACCCTGGCCCTAGCGACACTTTACCCCAGGCCAGCCTCTTGCCCCTTGTCTCCTGGGCTTTGCCTTGACCCCCTTCTAGGGCCTCTGGGAAGGTGTGATGAGTGGATTTGAGAGGAGAAAGTTGTCCCTTCAGAGCAGTCTGTGGCTGATGCTCCCGAATGGCAGAGAGCTCATTGGCATGGCCTCTGGGTGCTACTGGGAGCCACACCAGACACCAGGCTTTCACTGTTATCTGTGTCCCTGTGGGCACTTCCTCCATCAGTCTGAGGAAATTAAAATAATCCCAGGAAGGATATCTCCATTACTCAAGCCTTCTCTTGTAGTGCTGGCTCCCACAGCCCCAAAAGCTCAGCTCCAGATTATAAAGTTAAGCTGCATCTGGTTATAGCACAGTGGCTTCTATGATTGAGTGAACCCCAAACTTTGAAACACACTTGGTGGCCAGGACCTGCTTGGGGGCTTCCGTAAAGGTGTTCTGGAGGCAAACGCACATGTCCAGAGAGGAGACCCAGTGTCACCCCTAGGTTGTCACACCCTGGCCCCAGCCTGGGGACTGCCAACCCACAGGGAGAAGCTGCTGCTCTGGGTCCCTGGAGCAGGAGGAGGGGGCTAGGCTAGTGTGGCAGTGGCCACAGCCAGCGGGCCAGGTGCTATCTGCAGGCCTTGCCAGGCCGAGAGGGCAGGCTCCCACACCCCCGCTGCCCACCTATCCTCTATCCCTGAGGGTTCTGACTTCCTGGACCCAGTTTGACCTAAGACTCAAGCCCTCTGGGGCCTTGGCATTTTCATTTCAAGCCACAAACTGGGTGGGTCTCCTTGACCCTGAGGTCAATGGCACTGGGGGGAAGGTCCTTCTTCATACAAGATAAGCAACAACCTTACACAAGTAAACTGATGTCTACATCATGTGCGTAGGTCCTAAAACAGGTCTTTGAAAGGTACTTTCAAGCCAAATGGGTAGCAATTAGGTGTTCATTTTATTATTCCTGAAACTGGCAGAGCCAGGTCACCTCTGTATCATTGAGTTACCCTGGAGACAAGCCTCATGCAAAGGAAATCCTTCTCCAGGACACACACAGTGCCCAAGATCATCGGGAGGCAGCAGCACTGCCCGCTGGCAGAGACAGCCATGGACCTGCAGTGGGGATACCTTGTGCATGAATTTAAGACATTCACAAGTGTCAGGTGCAGGGGAAATGTGCTTAGTTTAGCATTTATACATCTGACACATTAATGACACATTGCTCAGCACGACTTCAAAGGTAACTAACTCCCAAATTCTTTATTTAGTAAAATTGTAACATTTGACGGCAGTGGAATACACAAACTCAAGTGTGCTACAAACAAGATGTACAGAGCCTCACAGGTCTGAGCATGCGGAAGGACACACCTGCCTCTCGTCTTCTGGTGGAAATGGCAAGTTCAAGCTTTTATTTAGCCCAGGGCTGCCTGGGACACTAGTGCCCAGCACCATTCCTGCCACCTATGCCCCCAGAACCCGCACAAGGCTGGTGAAGGCTGGGCGCAGAAAGCTGGGAGAGCGCTGGGAGCTCCACAAGATTCCTCCTCCTGCCTGTAGCTCTCTTCCTCCACCCACCCAGAGCTGCAGGGTCCCTAAAAGTTTCTTCCTCAAGAAACGGGGTTGGGGCCTGACTGGGCTGGTCACCAGGGGCTGCCCTGCAAGCCATCCATGGGAGGAGAAAGGGTGGACCTGTGGGGCTTTCAAAGCCCTACCCCAGTACATCTGAACCTCTGGGAGGAGAGAGGAGCTCCTGGGAGGGCTGGGCCCACCCCCGAAGGACTCTGGCTGGTGTTGGTCACCAAGGCCTCCAGACACTCTGGGCTATTTGGGCTGCAGTCAGGCTGCCCAGGGCTGTGGGCACCAAGTCGGGCCCCTCAGCAGGTGCCCGACTCAGTTCAGCCTCAGAGGCCTCCTCCAGGTCGGAGCACGGGTCGTCCCCAGGACCTGGGGGGCTGGGTACTGGGGATCCTGGAGCCCCTCCCGCAGGCCAGCCACGCCGCCCAGGGGCTCCAGGTGGCCCCGCCAGGGCGTCCCCCAGCAGATCCTGGAAGCTGCTGCCCTCACGCAGCGGCATGGACTCGAGCAGGTGGTTCAGGAGCTCGGCAGCGACGGTGGCGTCGATGGCCTGGCACGTGGACACGAACGTGTGCACCTCGTGCATGCACTGGATGTAGCCGGCGGCGAAGCGCTCGCTCGCTTCAGCCTGCAGCTGCTCGCGCTCTGGGCCCGAGGGTGGGAGGGAGAGAGCCGCGTCCCGCGCGGTGAGCGGCGACTGCTTGGCCCAGCCCACCCGGCCCGCGGGGACGCGGCTCACCCAGGAGACTCGAGGGCGCACCCTGCTCCGGGGGGAGCCCTCGCCGCCAACAGGACAGGTGCGCCGGGAGGGAAAGTCCTCCGTCCGCCGGGGGCGGCAGGCGCCCGCGGCCCGCGCCCCTGCCCTCCCCGCCGCCACTCACCGCGCGCCCGGCCCCGCAGCGCGCCCTGGACCCGCCGCACCGTCAGCTCGAGCACCTCGGCGTTCTCCAGCTTGGCCTGCACCTGCGCGGGCGGGAAAGGCGGTGAAGCGGCAGCGCGCTCCGCGGCCCGCCCGCCCGCCCCGCAGCCCCAGGGCGCCCGCCCGGCCGCCGCACCTCGGCGCCCGCCAGCAGCAGCCGCAGCTCCTGCAGGCTCTCGTTAATCCGCGCGCGCCGCTTCTTCTCCACCAGGGGCTTCCGGGCCTGCGGAGAAGCGGGGCACTGAGTGCCGGCCCCGCACGGCCTCCCGCCCGCCCGCTCGCCCACGGCCCCGGCCCGCACCTTGCGGTCTCCCCGCGTCTCCCACCAGTCCTCATCCTCACGGCCCACACGGTCCGGGCCAGGCGCCGAGGGTGGCGCCATGCCCGCTCCGCTGGGGGCGCGGCAGGGACGGGGAGCAAGGCGACCGCAACGCCGGCGCCCTCCACTGCCCCGCTGCCGCCCAGCAGCAGCCCCGCCGCCCGCGCTCCTCGCGGCTTCCGGCCCACCGCGGCCCCGCCCTTTTATAGCCGCTCATTTGCATCTCAATGCGCCGATTGGCCGCACTGGCCCAGAGCCGCCGACCGCGAGGCGCACTGCAGCCAATCGTGGCGGCGCGCTTTGTCCGGCCCCGCGGCCCTGGAGGGCGGGAGGGCAGCTGGCTGGGCGAGGCGGGGCCCCCAGCCCGGCCTCTCGGAGACCCCCGCGGGGGCGGCACCGGGGCGGGGACTCTGGGGAGCTGCGGGCCTGCCTGCGCTTGTTTCTCTCCGTCTGCTGAGTCAGGACTACTGATCTGCCGCGCGTGCGAGCAGGTGCTCTCCCGTCCGTCAGTCCCTCCGTCCACTCATTCATTCATTCATTCACCCATTCATTCATTCATTTCCCTCCTTCACCGATGGCGCCTCCAGAACGGAGCGCTCGGGCCACGGGCCCCAGGAGCTGGGTCCCTGGGGTGCAGAGCCACAGTCAAGTCCGCGGTCTCCGGACCTAGAGGGGTTTCAGGACCCGGCTGGGGTGGCTGCGGAGCCCGGGGGAGGCAGGGGCCATTGGGCTGCGGTAGCGGGCTGCCCCTGCGTTTCTTCCAGATCCGTCCAGACGCCGAGCTGGACCCCCGACGCCGCCCTCCGCCAGCAGTGGAGTCCTAGTGGGGAGGAGTCCGTGGTGCTCCCGCCCGCGCCTCTCTCCCCCACTCACCGGGCTCTCCTCCCCGGTCACACCCCCGTCCCCCCTGAGCTCCCTCATCTCCCCCAGTCCCCTTCGGCCCCGCGGACCCCTTTAACCTCCCTTTCCCCTGCCCCCTGCCGCCTCCCTCCTCCCCTCCTCGTCCTCCTCGCGCCCTGTCCCCTCTTCCTCCCCACCCCCGCCAGGCCCGCGGAGGCTGCCGTCTGGCCCCAGTAACTTGATGCCCGTGACAGTTGGCAGCTGCGGCCGCTTCGGCGGAGAAAAGCGGCGGCCGCGCCAAGAGCGACAGGTGTTGGCCGCGCCTTTGTCTCGCGCGCTTTGTCCCGCGGGCAGGCGGCGGGCGCGCTTGTGCAGTCCAGACGCCCGCGACCCCCCCGTGGCGGCGGGCAGCCCATCTGCCGGCTCCGCCTGTCCGCCAGCGGGGTGCATGGGCGGTGGGGCCGCGCCCTCGGGCAGCGCCCTGGGGACCGCAACCCGGCTCCCGCCCCACCCGCGTCAGTCCAGACCCTGCTTGTAGGAGCCGCAAGGCGGAGACGCCTTCTCCGACCCAGGCCCGCCAGGCACCAGCCTGCCCCGCACAGCACCTGCTGTCCTCAGTCCCCACTATTAACCCAGGCTGGGATCCTCAGGGTCTGTTCTGAGCTCCTCCAGGCTGTAAGCGCCCCTGGACAAGAGGCATGGTCGGACCTAGGACCCCCTGTCCACCTTCCTGCACCCCCGGCAAGCCTGGTAGGTAGGGTAGGTGAGGGGTGTCCCGGGCAGGATGGACTGGAAGGCCTCGTGGGAGGGGAACACCCGGAACCGCAGCAGCTGAGCAGAGCGGCAGGACTAGGCTGCATCCACCGCCCCATGGACCCTGCAGAGGTCTGTCAGGCCTCCTATGGCCCCTTTACTTCTGGCTCCCCACCAGAGGAACCCCTGCAGCCTTCCTGCAGGGTGACTTTGGTGAGAGGTTTGAAGGTTCCCAAAGTCACCTCACTGACCTCTGTAATCACCTGGGAGCCCCTCCTGCCTGCTCCCAACTGTCCCTGATCTGCCTCTTGGTTGCTTTGTGAGCAGGGTCCTGAGATTTCCCCCAGCCCAGCAGCACTCACCTGGGTGTGAAACTACCCCTGTACTTCACACACTCCCCACCTGCCCTGACAAGATGGGGCTGGAGTGGTGGATCCCAAGGAAGTGGGTAATTGGCCTGTGACTTTACTCTCCTTCACCACTTAGACATTACCTATGGAAGAATCCCTCTCCCCCAAGTGACTACAGTGACATTTCCACTACTTAGAGAAACTGTGATAGAGAAAATTAAACTCACTGATATTTCTTGTACTCCCAGGTTTGCAAACTGATTTACATTCCTCTCATTATCCAAACAAACAAGGCCAATGCTTTGTATTAGGCAATTTATATTGCAACAGGATGATCAGGGCCCTGAAGGAGGACTCTGGGTAAAAACTGACTGAACACCTGATTGGATGGGGAACTGTATTTGAGGGGCCAGAAGGACATGCTAAAGGCAAATGGTGCAAGAAAAAAAATGAAAGGCAACTAGGAACTCTAGGAAAAACAAAAAGCTGCCCAAGAAAAGAAATGTGATCTTAACACATTACTTGGCTCAGGAGACAATTTTCAAATTCATAACAATGTAACGCTGTTCATAGAGTTTTAACATTTAGAATTAATCTATACAGAAGGCAAGGAAGGATTGTTTATGGTTATGGTATCAAGTTGACCTTGTAAAAACAAAATGACACAGGTGATAGCAGTTATGAGAGAGGGGAGGCTAAAGGGAGGACTAGGGACCTCAAAAGCCTTATCTGACACCGCGGAGTGTGTGGGAGCTGAGGAATGCTGTCTAGAGTAGAGGGAAGGAGATATTAAGCACTGGGATATACCTCTGTGTGACCAAAGACCCTTGAAGGAAAAGAGCTTAAGTAGAGAAGGCTGTGTATCAGCAAAATCCTTCTTGGTTGGACTGGAAGTTGCCCAAGGTCCCCTTTGCAAAGTCAGCTTCAATTTCCTTTAGTGGTGCACTAGCCAGCTGGCACAGCCTTTTTGTCCCAGAAACCTGGCCTATCTTGGGGTCACCAAGCCCTCCCTCCCTCCTTCACAGCAGCCTCCCCTAGCCAACACTTCCTGCCATTTGTCCCTTGGGCCAATCCTGCCTTCAAAGTTTGCCTCAGTACAGACTTCCTGAGCATTTGGGCCCTTTGATCCCCGTAGAGCCAGGAACAGAGGCCAGCAGTGGCTGGGCAGGGCAGTGGTTGCTGCAGGGGGACTGGTGAGCAGTGGGAGTGGCAGGCCGTAAGTCCCTGGGGGAACAAAGGCAGCTGCGGCCTATAGACTGTTCAGGCCCCTTGTGGGCAATCTGCCCAGGAGACTCAGAGAATCTCCTTTTGGTTTGGAAATAAAAGACAGCGGGTGCCCTTGAGGTTATATGGTAAATAAAGATAAAATGAAGTCTCCCAAAAGCACTCAGAAGTTCTGTGAAACAACCATATCTGCCCATTTAGGGCAGTTTGCAGAGGCCTCAGTGCTAGCTAGGAGAGCTTTGCCTTTTATCCCATCAGCACTTGGGGTTAGGCAGCCAGACAAGCAGGCAGAGGAGCGCCTCCTCCCTCCTGCTCAGGAAGCTTCTCAGAGGCTGGGCATTGGGTTCAGGATCCATTCAGCTCTGTGCTCCAACCCCCAGGGTCATGGTGTGAAAAGTGAGGGGTGGGGAGCAGCTCTTCGGGCCTCTACTTCTGGCGTCACAAGGCTTCATTCATCACTGTGAAAGAAGGGCTGGGGTCAGGGGACTGTGCTTCCCTGCCTGTATCATTCACAGTGGGCACATGTGACCTTTCTGGTGGAGCCTCCTGACCTCCCCACCTTTAGCCCTAGCCGGATGACCCGAACTCAGGCAGCCAGCCGGAAAGGCCAGGTAACCTGGGGCAGGGATGCAGGGAAGAGAGAGGTGCCGGGGGGCAGAGCTGGGGGCACTCTGGGGGCTGAGTCAGACAGCTGCGCCCCTCCATTTGAAAGCGAAAAGACCGTGGGCATGACTTGATTAGGCCTGCATTACACAAAGTTCACTCTTGCAGCCTGAAGGAGGGTGCGTGTGACACACACACACAGAAAGAAAGGGAACCAGCAAGAAGCAAACTGTACAAGGGAACTGCCCACGAGGAGGCCTTTGGGATGTAAAATTCTTTAATGCAGAATTTCTGGAGTTCCTGTAAAAAAATTTTTTTTATAATCTTTGATCTCTATTCAGGTTTTGCTCTGTGTTATGTGAAAAATACATACAAGTAAAAATAAAAATATACTTGCTTTATTTACCAATTTTCTAAAAGGCAAATAGGTCATAAAAAGACACAAGCAGTCAAACAAATCTATTGCACTGGGTAAAGAAAGTTTGGTTTGCACACGAACAAACCATTTGTCCGGCAAGGCTCAACAAATCATCACACAAACTCTGAGAGCTTATTTACATATCTTTTTAGGAATATATTAAAAAGAAGGCTCAGTTTAAAATAGAGAAAAAGTGTTTAACACCTGTGTAAGCACACACACTAAAGAAAACGTGACTTGATGCTTGGCACCATGTAAACAAATTCACAAGATGATTCTATTAAGTCAACTGCTTGGCACGCGCTGAAGCTACACAGTTAACAATCAATAAGCATATATTAAATAATAAAATAATGCTGATGGTAAACACTCATAATAGCAGAGTAAGATTTTGGCAGTTTTGTGTTTCGGTAACATAAATGTAACCTTAGATTAACACCTATCCCCCATGATCTGACTTTAGAGGCAAGGAGGAGTCTGTAACATCTAATTGCCGTACGAATGCAGACTGCTACCTTACCTTAGGCATAGGCAGGTGATGTTACTTTGTAAATTGAAAAATTGAAGTGTTCTTTTGTTTATGAAAAATAGGTTTAATATTCAGGCATAAGATGGTTTTACTAAGAAAACCTAGTGGATTACAAAGAGATTTCACCTCCACCAAAAAACAAAGAAAACCCTGGTCCCGGCCAGGCGCAGTGGCTCACGCCTGTAATCCCAGCACTTTGGGAGGCCGAGGTGAGTGGGTCACCTGAGGTCAGGAGTTCGAGACCAGCCTGCCCCACATGGCAAAACCCCATCTCTACTAAAAATACAAAAAATTAGCCAGGCATGTTGGTGGGCGCCTGTAATCCCAGCTACTAGGGAGGTTGAGTCAGGAGAATTGCTTGAACCCGGGAGGCAGAGGTTGCAGTGAGCTAATAATGTGCTACTGCACTCCAGCCTGGGCAACAAGAGTGAAACTCCGTCTCAAAAA